ATAATTCTATTATTTTAAATGTATGACTAAGTAAATGCTTTGAATAAAGATAATATTATACAATCATATATAAAGAGAATGTGTACATGGGGGAAGTATTATCTTTATTGGCGTCCGCGCCAAAGTGCGACGCCCTTATGGAATGAAATCAGATTTTGTGAAAGGAAGACAGCAACTTCTCGGACCTTTTCGTTGGTCATAATAGCCGATCATTCCGATTGGTATGAGGGTTTTTGATAATCAAAAACGACATGTCGCGAACAATGAATAGTAACTGGAGAATTTCGCAATGCAAACATATTGAAATGAAATAATCTTTTCCTTCAATTAATCGCGCTCTTTGGGGTTTTTTATTCATCATTTTGTAGTGCACAGTGAGTTATTATGGTTTGTTATTGTTGTACATGTATCCGTATGATGACCTAATCCGAAGATCTGTTTATAGAGGGATGTACTATTCGCCGGTCTCCTATCGGTAATTCCCGGTCTCTCCCGGGATTTACTAGAGACCGACGAATAATACCTACGTTTATTGTCCGGTCTCTCCCGGTTTTGGAGTACATGTTTGATATCGTTACAGATAAATACGTTTTTTTTCCAAAATGAATGTTTGTCACTTAGTTTGGTTTACGCAGATCAACTCTCAAAATTGATTATTATTATACATAAACATACAATTCGAAAAAAAACACCAACAACAATAGCATGTTTTATTTTATTTATATGAGATAAAAAGAATAAATGTGTACAATAATTGATTAAAAAGTACAATTTATGGTATTAATATGACACCATCAACTTTGAAACATTTTATTTTATCTGTTATTCGTGTTTAGTCAGGATGTTGAGGAATTATTCTAAGTTACAGATTAAATTTTATGAATAATTCAATTGATTGTTAATTTAAAAAATGATAAAGAAAAATACAAATGTACATGTACATGGTGTAAGAATAAACAATATAATATATTGAAAGATTAACCATTATTTACTGACTTTTTCCAGTTAATTTTTGACTTATAATCGTCGGTAAATGTGACAATTGAATTCTTAAAATTTATTTTACAATTTTTATTAAAAAAAGTAGTTTACGTAAAAACTCAGTATTAAAAAAGCACATGAAACGCAAAAAAGAAAGAAAAAGAAACCAATATTCACAAAACATGTAAAAAAATATATTAAAATAAATATTACAATTATTGCATAATAAAACAATTATGCTCAACATGGTAAAATAGCCAGTGACATATTGTTACTAAGTGTGAACAGATACCTTAAGAGGGGGGTCTTCGCTAATAGCGATAACATAATAAAGGACAACACACAAGTGTGGTGTTGATCATGCCTTACACAAATATATTATAAATGATTGTATATATCCGTTGCTATTAATTATCACCATAATACATTTATGACCATAAAAAAACAAACAATTATAATATAATATTATATATATATTTTATTATTTCAAAAATGTAAAAGAACTTTTGATTTTGACTACTATCATATGTAAAGTATATTTTGAAATCATTGACCTGTATTTTTTGGATACTATCGTTAATATTGATAAAATTTCAAGTTCCTGTGAAAGAAAAACAAGTAATATTTTAAACTCTAGCATGCCTACCAAAGTTCATAATGAACAATGTCTTTCGTCCACTCATTCATAAGTGATATACAATTCTGGTAAAAACCATTGAAAAGTTTATAAGAATATCTTGTCATCATAATTTATGTCTACTAGTTCATCTTCACTTGCTTGGACGCCCTTTGATGCTTTGCATCAATGCTTTTCTTGTCTTTTTTGTTATGAAAAGTAAAGTGTTTTGATGAAAATTGCAGATAAAAATTAAAATGATTTTGTCATGTTTACGTCTTGATTCGACTCAGTAGTTATTGTTGACGCGTACCATATAATGCCAGTGATAATGTAAGAGCGATTTATATATTCGTTATAATAATAATAATAATAATAATAATAATTAATTTCAATATATATATAAAACATGCCATTTCATAGTACTATATAAAACAAGAAACCATATCACATATTTTTTTCTTATGAATAAAAACATCAACAAATAACAATCATTGTAACAAACTTATTATGATTTTTAAATAGGACCTTAAGACAAGTGATAAATTGTAAAGATAATCAGGACATGCATGAATATACATAGGATGACACAAAAAGTGAGTATGAATTCATTTGTTTCCATTGAGTAAGGATGTATAAAAAACTTTTCCAGAACGTTACAATAATGCTAAACCACTTGTATAACTACAATGTCAAATTATTATAGAAAACGTTTTGTGTGATAAAAATGAACAACATTTGTTTATTAAACACAAAACATTATGCTTGTAAAGTGACCAGAGGATATCAACACTACGTGATGACAATGTTTAAAACAGTAAAATGGAACACACATTTGAAAAATAAAACTGTACGAAATATGCTAGTACCATAACAAAATCTATCAAATCTTATTATTAAAAATAAATAAAAGACATATCTGAAAGAGGTAGAGCGATACAGATATAGGCAGATAAGCATATAATAAACATGTCAGCATTTCTCCATATTCAGGCAATATACATGGATAAATGATTTTCACGTAGAAAATTGTTTTACTACATACACTCAGTTTTGCTGATACAAGTTATTAAGGTTAAGGAAAATAGTTTTTGACTTCATGACCTACTGAATATGCAAGATGAGTTCAAGGGCATAAACAAAACGGAAAATGTCATCAAAGATAACATTCATTTTCTAAATTATAAAATCTAAATTAAAATACAATTAATGTCATATTATTTATGATGCATGGAATTTGAAACTCATGACGATATCTAACCTTAACAGTCACTTGCATTGTCATTTCATTTGCAATTTTCGCATTAGCTTTTACTTTTCATTTATAGAATGAATGCCACTTTCATGAAAATAAGAACATGACATGTTCATATTTCTATGGGGATATAATTATGCTTATTGTAAGTAATTGACAGCCTGTGTACATGAGATGGTTAATTGTAGCACTTTGAACTTGAAGTTCATAACCTTTAGAAATCCTGATCTAAATTTTCCAAACCCTATCTATAATACAATTTTTATGCATTTAACTAAGAACAAAGATACTTCGAAATATGAAGTATTTGAAAAACGTTTACAACTTAAAGTTTAAAAGATCATTTTCACTTAATTTGCAAAATAGGTAAAAACAATCTTAGAAAATTTTTGTCCGCAATCTTTTTTACGTTCGACAGTGTGGTATTTCGTTCGCTATACATGTATATTGACATAATTTTGATTAGTTGATCATACAGTATATACCATATACATGTACCATGTATTAGTCATCAATTATTAATAATAATCATCTACATATCTACACAATCACAAATGAAATTTACAAACTTAGCATGCATTTCGTTGATACATATTAAAACAGTGACAACTATAGAGGTCATTCAACATGGACAAACTGAAAATATATCAAGCTCGGTTAAATGTTCAATATGAGGGAAAATGAATGGGCTATTTAGATATATGATTATTTTATATCTTGAGTAAATAAGTTTGAATAATATGATGCCCTAAAGATGGGAAAGAAAAAATTGTATATTGCAATTGTTTTGCTAACTCATTTGAGGATGATAATCCTTACAGAAATAAGATGATACAAAATAAACTGTCGATATTGTTGGATCTACATTAAATATCTAATGGAAATGTCGACTTTGAACATTAACCAATACATATTAACAAAATAGAAATGAAAGTTTAAAAATTCTGTGCATCTTTGCATTTTAAACTGGTGGCAAATCATAATGATATGAAATATATTTATACAGGATCTCACGTTCGTTCCCATAAATTATGATTGTATATTACGTATCGATTTGAAGAAAAATGATGGTACAAAGCTCGCTACAGATTCGCTTCATAAAATATTTAACAAAACTTGATATTATCTTGGAACGAGAAAAAAATCAAATATAAGCATAAACTTGATATCTATATTTAATTTATTTTTATTTAATTAATTTTATTTTTATTTTATTTGTGATGCTGCAATGCTTGGCCTCTTCAATATATCAACAAGTATCCACTCCGATGATTTGAATATGAACTGAATGATCCATATTAAAAAAAAATTTGTGTTAATTGTTTGTGTGGAAAAAGGCACACATTAGAAGAAGATCTTTAGCAATCGCACATTAGAAACGTAAAAACTATTTAAAAAAGGACTGATGCTGCATATTGCTAAATAGTGAATTCGTAGGTAGCATATGTCTGTTTTTGTTGCTATTTTAATCAATAAGCTGCAAAGAAAAGAAACAAAGCACTTGGCCAACTGTAAACCGTTCTTATTTTAGATATGTGATAAATCGAATAATATATTCGTGTAGATTCAATACTAAATTAATTGAGCTCATTGAATAAAAACAATATTATGCTCGCCAGGGACTCGCATAATATGATTTTATTTAACTCGTTCAATAATTTCAAGATTCTTTATTTAATTCATTTGTTCGGCAAAAGTCAGTGAATGATTATCGTGAAAAGAAAATGCTTCATTTACTCAGTAAAGATTATTATGAAAAGCAGTCTGTCATTGTCAACGAACAAAAAAGCAATGCTCACCAAACGACAGTCTATACTTCCAAATAGCAGTCTATCAGTTTTTACGATAGTCTATACTATTTAATGATAGTCTTATACAAAACGACAGTTTATAATGATATACAACATTCTATAGTGCAAAACGAACGAAAAAATGAAACGGTATATTAACATTATTTTTTATCAATGGAGTATGTAAAACATGGTATCCTTATTTTTTATGTTGTCCATAGTACATACAAACTAACACTACCACTGTCAGTTAAGTTGCAACAATGCGTAACGACTATTCAATATAACTTTAATTGATAAAAAATATGAAATGAACACGACCGTGACCATGTAACGACTTTAGGCATAGTTTACGTATTCAAAACTCAGTTTCCTTTGAGAGAAAATTCACATCTTCATGACAATCTTTACGTTTGCCATTATTTTCACAACCTGCATGACTTCCAGTGAATAAATTATTGATCACGTGTTTCCTAAACGAAAACAAGCATCTTTCATCAATCCTGTCTTGGCGCTTAGTGCAAAGACTTGCAGCTAAACCTACACAGATTGTCGTACAGAAGCCAATGACAGAAAACAGTATATATGAAATACTATATATCGTATGGAGTAGTGATGTAGAACCAAACGTTTCATTAGGTTCAGTCGAATAAACAAATTTTCTGGAAAACGGAACATCAGTCATAGACACTGTAGATACGTTACTATAATAGTATTCTAGTGTATTGTCTATCATTGCATCTGAATTGTTCCTGTATACAGAACATTCGTTAGTTGGACCATGTGCAAGGTATGGATACGGCGGAACGTCAGAAAAATTACTTCCCATGATTAGCCAAAATACCAATGCACATCCACATAAAAGTCCAATAGAAATTCCTGTTGTTGTTACTCTACGGCACATTAGGGATAGAATAAATAGAGCACAGACGGGACCGTCCATACAGCCCATAAAACCCTGAAAGATAGCTGATACGGAACCCGGAATGTGTAACATCGAAAAGGAAAGGCCCATGACAATAGAGCCATAAAACAAAACGAAAACCTTTGCTATTCTTGTTGATTGATAAGGTTTCATTTCTCTGAAATTTACTTTTATGATGTCCTCATATGTAATAGCTGATAAACTACTTAGACACGACGACAAGGTACTTAATCCTGCACTAGAAAGGCAGGCTGTAAACAACCCTGCCAAACCTGGTTGGTAACGGAATAATTCCAGTACAGCAAATGGTACGATAGCATTGACATTGGCAATAATTCCTGCTTCGAGTATGTCACAACCTTTCTCAGAAAAGTAAGCAAACAGGAATGCACCTTCGAGTACTCCAATTACAGTAATAATAACATAAAATGGTGTTGCTATAACAAATAATGCACGCGCCTGGTTCATATTTCGTACAGAATATATTCTTTGCATAGATGGCTGGGTCATAGTTATATAAAGCATTTGAGTTATTGTTCCAATAGACACGTTCCAGAATTGATATCTTATAGTTGGATCAGCGTTAAAATCTGTTGTATCAAATCTATCTTTGGCAAACTTATAAATTTTTTCTAAACCACCAACGTCTATGCATGATTTCACTAAAATAGCAATCATTCCAGCGGACATGATAATCAGCTGGAAAACGTCCGTCCAAATAACAGCCTTAATACCTCCGATAGATGTATATATGGCTGTCACAACAGTATATATCAAAATAGTTCCCCACGGTGGAATACCCAAAACAACCTGTAAAGCTACACAAGTGCCCACTGTAACTGATGCCATATAAAATAATGTATATATGATGCCTGAACCAAGTGCCATATAACGTAGAACATTGTTTCCATATCGTAGGTTGAAGTATTCATAAACACTTATCAGTTTTAATGGATACATTACTGGAACAACAAACACTGCCGCAAAAATGTATGCAACAGTTATACCAACGGCATAATATGCTAGTCCGGTTCCATATACATAGCATTCTGCAGGAAATCCTATAACTATCAATGAGGATTGAAAACTTACTACGAAGGAAAGTGCAGCTGGTAAAGTGCTAGATTTTCGACCCGCAAGAAAATAATCAACGGTCGTATTTCGTTTTCTTTCCCAAATAGCGAAAAATATACCAATACACAATGCAATTAATATTGTTAAAAAGAAAATGATATAATCCGTTATTCCAAACATGTTTCTTTTCTAAATTTCGATATTTTGCTTGCTGCAAATGTTATATGTATTGATGTTCATGATAAAATAATAAATACGAGTGTCCTCGACCGAGCGCGTTTTGTAAGTTTGAAGGTTTAATGTTTTTGTAACAAGTGTATTTTTTTAGGTCAAATCAAACAGTAAAACTAAAATCAAATCGAACAGTTATCTAGCGTGAAAAGTGTATTCTAAAGAAAATCATATAAATTAATATAAAGAGTATTTTAGGAGAATATAGAAAATACATGGTTGATGCCGAGATGGTTTATCCGGTAAGCGAGAAAGTGTATCTTGTAGAGATTTATCCTGCTTTGATCATATTTTTAGATTATTTAAGTGGTTTCGTGAAAAAACAGCGTCTATATAAAGGCTTTGTTTTGCTACTAACCACGTGACGTCATCATATGACTTAACGACTGGGGACAGATAAGTTTATCCGGCAAGTCTTTATACAGCTAATTAGCTAGACAGTAGAAGGATAAAATGCTTTTACTGTTGCCTACAACCCTATGTGAAGCTCATTTTATAACCCCGAACATATAATGTGACGATCTAAAAATTTCAACTAAATCTAACTGTAACATAATTGAACCAAGAGTAACAATAACTCAACTGTCCATACCTTGTCAACTTGTAAGTGTACTTAAATATAATTTCATTTCTATTCTTAAAAAATAGTGATATCTATCAGTCATAAACATACAATAAACAACATTGTATTATAGTTTGGGGTCATTTCTGTTGAAAATGTGTCAGAGTTAAATCGTATATAACATATTCATGCTCTGTGCGTTAACTGGAGTATATTAGTTATGCCCATTAGAGCATGCCCATTGATTGGCTCCTTTTTGCTTGGGTTTACATATTGTGAAGGCAGAGAAAGGGAAAGCGACAGAAATATCATATTCAGATGCTCGTTTATTGGATACGTTTACAGGGGTTTTATATTGTGACAACGCGTTTTTATGTAAACTTGGGAAAGTAAACATTTTATATTGTAATTGTTTTGTTAACTCCATTGAGGATGGTAATCCTTACAGATATAAAACTGATACAAAATAAACTGTCAATATTGTAAAATCTACAATAAAATGTCTTATGGACATTAACCAATACATATTAAAGAAATGGAAATGGAAGTTTAAACATTCCGTGCATCATTGGTGGCAAATCAAAATGATATGAAATACATGTATACAGGATCTCACTTTCGTTCCCATAAATTATGATAATTGTATATTACTTAACGATTTGAGGAAAAAAATGGTACAAAGTTCGCTACAGACTCGCTTCATAAAATATTTAATAAAACTTGATATTATCTGGATACGTGAGGTCATTTGTTACCACATAAGAATACAAATTTAAATCAATGAGAATTAATTTGTTTTGATGTTTTATTCGCGCTTTATTATCAGTGTGCGAAATAAAGAAAATATTACATAATGTGACTATATATCGCTTAAGATCGACAAGGAAAATGTATCCGTAATTTTCTCATTTTGTATACAATTGACCCAAATACCCTGCGCTATGTTACAAATAAGTTATTATTGTATAATGAAAAAGCTTGTCACAAAATAAAAACCATCGGTTCAGTTATTAAATTAAATTCGGACATATGCAGAAAGATCAAACAAGCCCAAAATTGAAAACGTTGGAAAGTTCGTCCGTTGTCGCATTTTTTATTGAACGTCATTGTTACTCGACGACATATAAAGTAGCCCGATTACATCAGAGAACTTTCCACAATTTTACAGTTAAATCACGTGTATTATTATATAAAAAGAAGTTAATTCGTAATTGACCACGAATCTGCCTGTCCTTTAAGTAACCCAAAGTTATTAAATTCAATTATCATAGGGTCTCATGTCACAACAAGAAATAAGCAAACGTAAGCATAAACTTGATATCTGTTGTCGCAATATCTCTAAAAAATCACGTGTCTTCTTCATTATATCTACAAGTATCAGTTCAAGTTGGCCGATGGTTATACACTGAACTTGATGATTATATTTGTGTAAACAAATCGTGTGGAAAAGACACATGTAGAATGGTATGGAATATAATATTATATATATTGTTCAGACAAAAGTATATTGAGCCGCATAAATTGCAATAATTTATTTTCATATAAAGCATAAATTCATATTTTGTGTAATAAGTAAGAAGGTTTAAAAGCCTCGATAATGTAACAGTCTTACTATGAAACAGAACATTTTTAAATGAAATCACTTGCAGGCGAATTTGTCTGAATTTTATCCTGATGCCATTTGCGACGAAGCGTATCTGCGAGCACGTGAATGTCAAAAAAAAAAGAATCATCGAATCTGGGCAAGTTAAAAAGTGTAAAATGTTTGTTTTTAAATGATAATTTTTAGGGTTCCCACATTAGAAACGTATTACTGTTTTATAAAGAATCACTGATTGAAACTGCATATTACTTGTAGGTAGGATATGTCTGTTTTTGTCGCTGCTGAAATCAATGAGCTACGAAGAAGAGAAACAAAACATTCATTACTTGGCTGTTGGCAATATTAACCGCACTGCCAACGCCTAGATCAAATATAACTCCTTAATTTGTCATATACAACCTAGTGCAATATTAAGGGGATGTTTATAAGACTGAATATGGTCGACAAATATACATATATAATTGCATTGGCATAGACACAATTTTGTCACAAACTTTATTAGGCTGTTTCTTGTATGTTAACATTTTACTAGCTTTGAATTTAAGATGCTCAACTGGAATTTACATGACTCTCGGCACTAACAGTTTGAATAGTTCCTTGAAAGTATGGGAGTTCCTTAAATACTAGTTTATTTCAGTATAGAAAATACATTGCGTTTCGTGGCACAATCTAAGTAACATATGTTTTCATAAAAAGTGCTCCAGTTGAACAAAAGAAGATTTTTAAAGGTTATGTTCTAATACTTTTGAACTTCAGTGGAACTTCTCTAAAGGTTTTTAAAAATGTAAATGATATTAAACAAAGAAGCCCTTTCACATAAAAAGAAGCCCTTTCACATAATACTAACACACATCTAAGATCATCAAAATGTTGTTGTTCTGTCACATCAGTATTTGGATGGTTAATGTTATTGATAGGCCTCTTTCAATTATAGATGTTTCCATTTTTTTCATTTGCCTTTCTTCAAGGAAGAAAAGCAACATAATTTATGATTTTTAATGACTTTGCCGAATTTTCAATTGCTTTTTTATTCTCTTTGTTCTTGAACAAATAACATAAGGGATTGCCTGTAAAAGTACAGTTGAATTATTTTTCAAGTAATTGTGTTATCAAATCCATTTATTTAGTATACTAGTAAGTATAATGAAGGAAACTTGAAACATTAAAGAGAGAAGGAAGTGTTTGTTACTGACACTGAAATACATTAACATCTAGTTTGATTGACGTTTATACTTTCGGACACTCTTTTAACTCGAAGCAACTGTCGTTTTGAAAACAGTGCAATGCAAATTGAAAGATATTTTGTATACAAAATTTGTTAATTTGTGCAAAACAAGTAAAAGACACATTATCTCGCTGATTGTATATTGCGTTTTGTAATAAGGAACCGGTCTCTTGTCAACAGTGGAGAATATATTAAATTTTCCGTTTCTTTATTGCGTTGCAATCAATCAATTTCCATGACTTGATTTAGACTGGCAAGTGTACTACCATTATAATTATATGTGATCTTTTTGAAAGTAAGAATATTTCGGTTGCTTTTATTCATGTCTTTAGCAGTATTTTCAAATATCAATTTCGATTACTACCCAAAACGTTTGATATGCCACTCATCATTTAAGCATCTAAGGGTAATATATTCTGACAACAGGTTGTTTAAGTTGTTGAAAAAACAACAAGTGCAAGAATGAGGAATAGATAGATAAATAAATAAATAAATAAATAAATAAATAAATAAATAAAACATTCTGTTTGTTCCTGATGCAAACAAAATTATCTGTATAATTCAAATTATCCTTTGTTTCAAATTGATAAACTGAATTCTCGGGTGTTCTATTGTTTGCAATAACAGATTAATTCTGCAGTTGAAAAATATAAAGATTACACAGTTAAATAAAAAATTAATTCTAGAAAATGTCATCACAGAAATGACGCATTCTGCTCTTTTAGTAGAAAGATTTAACAGCCAAGAGGAAAAGACTTTTTGATTATATCTAGTAGATCTATCTTGCAAAACAGTTTTATTGTATTGCCATTTCATTTAAAGATACACAAAACAATGACTACTTGCATCTGAGATGACATGTCGTGTATTATGTGAAATGATAATCGTTCCTGTTTTTCATTTTGGTATCAACTTCTAACTTCATAGATAGATACATTTTATCTTGGAGAAAGTGCGGTAACGAAGCATCGTTTTGTTTCTTTTGCATCTATTTGTAAAGTTTGATACCTACAATAAATGTACTTATGCCCTGGCAAAAAATTATGCAAAATTATAATGGTCAATAACTCTTACATTATACATAGGTGAGTTGTTATTGACAAACATTGCAATCTCTATCTGTGAATTTTTCAGTTGATATGTTTAATACTTTGTGAAATGTGAGATATTTCCCTCTCTAAAATTTAAGTATGAAAAGCACAACAGAAATTGATTTAATGCCAATTTGAAATGAAGTTATGGACATCTCATGTACATAACCTGTTCATTCTATTACCTGCGAACCCTATAGACTATATTCCTAAGAAAAAAATATAATAAATATATAAAAAATGAAAAAAAGAAAAAATACAATAATATTTTGCAAATCGAAATATGGTAATTAGACAAACCCTTTTTTCAATGCGATCCATCCATCAGTAAATTTCCTAACATAGCTTTCGATATTATTTGTGTTTTCTCTGAACAAATATTAACCATAAAACACAAAAAAGGGCAATCACTCTAAAATAATATAAGTATGCCGTTTCTCTAGAAATGCACTTTTTCCGAAACGTTATTTATCCATTTATAAAGTTTCAAATATTGGAACGTTAGTTACAATTTGACGTTCAATAAAATAGTGTTGCGAACGGACGGACTTCCCGACGTTTACATGATCTT